GCCTTTTTTTTTTTTTTTTTTTTTTTTTTCTTAATGCTCACCAATTCTGTCACGCTCGGTAACCGAGTAACCAAGTAACCGAGAGAGGATCTTAATGCCGACACGCAACTCGGCGACAAGGTGATAATTATTCGTATACAGGATTTGGTATTGATTAATGATATCGTTACAAAGTGCAGCTAATAATTTCTCTGCACTTGTGGCGTGACCTCACGACTTCAAGTTTGCCGGCCGTTGCCAAATTTCTTTAAGGCGCCAGCACAACCCGCGCTAATATTAGCAATTCTGAATGAGGTTTAAGGTCCCGCGTTGTGCGCGCCAAGTTTCCAACATTTTTGGTCGCGCGACCCCGCCAATCCTGTGTTTTCGAATGCGCGTGCGGCTCGAAAGAGAAGCTACGGGCCACACGGGTTCGATGGCCGAGCATCACGGCCACTGGGAGGCTAAGAAAATTTTAACCAGATGCAAGACTAGAATTTTATCGTGTATCCACATGTAAAGTACAGTTAGATCGGCGCATGCGTACAAGAGAAATAAAAGAGAAAAATAATTTTTTTTAATTTTGAAAATTTTCCGCTTCTTTTATTCCACGATAAAAAACGATTGAAACCAAAGATTACCCCCCCCCCCTCACCAACTATCGATAAAAAATTAATAAATCGTATCAGTCGTACCAATCGACTTTTATCGATGTCATTCACAAAGTTGATTAATCGAACGCAGATATCGATTATTCTTGATGAATCGACAACGATGTAAAAAACAATAGCAGAGAGGATATCGATATTTTTACAAAAAATTTTTTTAATCCCGCAATTCCAATTTCGTATAATTAATCAAATTTTAAAAAAATCTAATCAACCGGAAGTCATCGACGTCACAAGGTCGCTGGTTGTTATTTTGATTGGCAATCTCATCGAGCAGATGACGTAGTCAATAAGTTACAGTGATGTATGATGCCTGACGTCATCCCTCTCTCCTGACGTTCAAATCCTATGACTATGACACACGCAGTCACTTTTCATACATGTTGCACATGATTCATTTTTTTTTCTCTTTGCGCCCGCCATTTTCCCACTTCAACTGTAATCTCGTCTATCGCCTCGACAAATCAGCCGCTGTCCGACACGTAAGAAACGATCGGATCGACCTTGTCTCGTCATTCCTACTCGCCACGTAAAAATATCTACGTCCACCTATACACCACTCAGCCATATGTATTATACGTGTACATTGCTTCCTGTCAAGTCTTGTAAGGAGGTTTGAACTGCCGCTGATTAACCTAACCTAATCACCACGTTGTCTTTGAGCACCCGTATATGTATATATATATAACTACTGGTCCGTGATTAAGGTATAGACAGTGCCATAAGAATCTATTGACATTGTCAGTCCTCCTCGACTTCACGGAAGTACTTACCATAATAAATATAGTTGCTGCTTACAGGTTAGCTCTGGCAGGCAGTCGATACGTATTAAATCGGTGCAACTCTTCCCCGAGCGTCAACGCCGTGGCGTCCCATTAAAAATGTACGATGTACGAAAGAGATTCTACTATTTTACAGAAGCCCAGGGCGATACGAGCGAATACGTACGTCCCTGGAACAGATATAATTTTCCAACCGAGGATCCTCGCGTAGTATTTACCATTGGACTTGGACACATCTCGTGGCTCGGTGTCCCTGATGAAATAATGTCACTTCCTTCGAACGATTTCGTAATCTTCGCGATACGTCACGTGACAGACGCCATGATGGATAATAGGATTTGAGTCGACGGACGGTGGGGACACAAAAAAGAATCAACGACAGTGCTGTTATTTTGTAATAATAAAATGTATTAAATAGGTAGTGTATTGTTGGCAATACTTATCAAACTACATATTTCGTGGTACATGAGAGTTGAGTTTTAATGAACAAAAAGAAACGTGAAAAAAAAGCCTGCCGAATAAAATTATCGTGCACGGACGCCATTGATCGATGGTATGCCGAGTGTTGTCAATATTTTATCTTTACGTCCAATGGCGTCATACGCGCGAGTTCTCGAACGACTTGCTTTTTTTTGACTTGCTATGTCCAAAAACGAAAATCTAACGCTCTCTTTTTTAATGCTCTATCACTTTTCTGGTCCCTGTGGAGTAGATAGGCCGAGGGGCTACGAACGCGTGCGAATCGACTGCGCATGCGCAGAACGAGGATCGTATTGGCCCTATCTCCGTCGTACGAGCCAATGGAAGATATTAATTCACAAGTAGCCCAAAGACTTTTCGTCCTCTGTAAATATGAATTATTTTCAAAAAAAAGATATATATATATACTAAAGACACCAGAAACTAAAGTCCAAGCGTTAATATCACGGGAATCGTAAGAGACGTAGGCGGACAATGAAAAAGCGTCCAAGGTGACGTCACTTCGATGATCGTACGAAAAACAAATGAAAAATTTAAACAAGAATACGTGAGTTTTAGAATCGTTAACAGACAAAATAAATGCCAATAAATGACGTAAACACGAACAAAGGACCAAAAGTATTTTCGTATTTACTTTTCGAGCAAAGGAAACGATAGTCGACCCATCCGCATCCTGTTCGAGCGACTTCCGTCGGCCTATCAGTTGGCTCCCATGATTAATGCGTATTTTTCAAGTTTGCAAAGACGTACGTTAATTATTATTTTTTTTTCTTTCTCTTCTCCTCCCTCCACATATGACTCACATTTCTTTCACAGCTCTCTCTCCCTTTCTCTCTCTCTCTCTCTCTCTCTCTCTCTCTCTCTCTCTCTCTCTCTCTCTAATTATATCGCTACTCGCTATCCCTCGTACCAGGCTAAACTGTCAATCGGTTCGCGAGCGTCTTCGTCGCGATCGACTATCACAAAGGAGAATTAAGTATACATTTATGGAATAACGATCTGCAAAGGGCACGATGACGATAAAAGGTGAGTGAGAGCAGAGAAAATCCGAGATAAATAATTACCATTGATCGTAGACGTAAATTTATATATATCGAAGATAATTTTTTTTTTATTCACCTCTTTCCTACCTCATTTCTTTCTCTGACTCTCAATTTCTTTGTATCCTCAACAACACGCATTCTCACTTTCTCAATCTCTGACACACATTCTCTTTCTCTCTTTCTCTCTCCCCTTCTCTCGTTAGAGAGTCGGCACGTATTGAGAGACGAACTCGAAGGAAAAAAAAAAAAAAAAATCCAAATCAACGAATCGAAAATAGGAAAAAAAATGCACAGGAATTGAAATATAATTAGATGAAAAAAAAAAAAAAAAATAAGTAACACGGTATCGTCGTGTTATCCGAAAAAAAAAAATTGTATGCGTGCATATATAAACAAAACATTGCGCATATACGTAAACGGTGTTCGCAGTCAAAGGAAAGATGGAGGAGAGGAAGAAAAAAAAAACACAGACACAAGAACGTGTTCAGGTTTGAGAGCCAAGAGATCGACCTGCATTATGTGTATATCTGAGAAGAAACGCAGTATAAAATATTGTATAAATATATAAATACGATTGAAAAAATAAATATATTAAATTAAAAAAGACGTACACATAAAGTATATTATTTATTATTAATTGTAAGTGGTCAAGTCTATAACAGGGGCGCGTGCCCGCGTGCGCCTGAGGAGTCCATCGTTACACGTACCAAGAGTGACATGACGTAGGTTACAAATGTG